GGAAAAAAGAATAGGCTGGGGGCAAGGCCTTCACGACTGCTTCACCCATTCCCTTAATTTATAGTTTTAATAACCTCCCCATAGCTTTATAGTCCACTAGCTTCGAATCTTTCCATAAACATCCACAGTAAGGATGGATTAGGTTTTCTTTAAAATCTAACCTGTTTCCTTGTAATCCCAGGGATTAGAAATGCCACCCTGACTTTAGCAGTGGATCAAAGGTCAGGCCAGGGAGCAACCTCAGAGGAGAATAGTCTCTGATGTGTGTGTCAAGGTGTGACACCCCCAACCCCCTAGGAAGTCTTCTCTTGTGAAAAATCAGTGTCCCCAGGTATTTTCTGTGGCTTATCAGGGTGACAGTAGGCTTTGGAGACAGGAGCTGGTTCAAACCTGACCTTGTTATTTTCTATCTGTGTGGCCTTGGCTAATTTATATAACCTCTCTGAGTTTCATATATAAATCAGACGAATGTTTCTCATTTGTGAAGGTCAAATAAGATGCAAAGCATTACGTGATAAGGCCTCAGTAAAGCTGAACTCAGTATCTTTAAACTCCTAGAAGGGCTCCTACTCTGCATTCTTTGTTAACACTTTAGGGTATAGTCAGACTTATTTACTTGGCTAGTACTGTATGTATTGTCCTTTATACATTGTCCGATGGTATAATAGGCACCCTAAGGTGGAGACTTATAACACTCACCTTGATGCTAAGCATATAGCAAGTACCGTATAGCTCAGTATGTGAACTTTTATTAAACTCTTATGAACCTTTATCCTATTTATTAATGATCACGCAATTCTAACACAATACGAAGAAAGAAATGTGTAATGAATGGGTTAATAACACACAGGTCAATACTTAATGTTGTATTCCCTTAGTGGACCACTAATAGAAAAGTAAATCATGTTTTAATTTTATTATAATTCATGCGTGCTAATTGTGCAAGTTAATGGGTTTGTGACATGAAATCATGCTTTTAAAAGAACTCTTAATGAGGTGGGTAATGATGTATTATTTAATGAAAAGGGCAGGACATGCCATTGTTTATTCTAAACATGGCACATGGTGACATGCATGAGCCCAGAAGCAACGACTGAAGGCCTAGTGTGCATCAGGGTATCCATGATGGTTAGATCAGCAGGTGGAGTTCCTTTGTTTTATCCTTGTTCCTGCTCACTCAAACAATATGCAAGGAGCATGTGTTACTTTCCAATCAGAAAGAAATGCTTAGCACTGCTTTTCCCTGTGGAAGACAGAAGGAGCTTCCTATTATAAAAGGAATTTCCTAAGGACACTACACATGCTGCTTTAGGGAACTGGCATTGATGGCTTTGCTCCTGTCCCAGCCCACCCAGTGCAGAATCAGTGTGGGTTTTGTTAACTTACTGCATTAATTGTTCATCTCAAGGTTAAAGAGGAATGGACAGAAAAACAATTTCCCACTGGACTGGGCTGTTCATTTAGAAGTCCTGGGTCAGGTGCCCTTGAGATTTCAAGGTCCTGAATGGGGCCTCCTTGCTTATTCCACTACTGGACAAGTGAGGGGTCTTGCTGTTCCGAGGCCTCCTGGGCAACCTGTCCAAACACATAATACATGGCTGAAAGATGGACACCAGAACTCCTTGCCCAGGCTAGCCGATGCCTGCAGACCACACCTGATGGAGAGCCTCATACAGTAGTTCACAGACTGAGGTGATATACTGTCCCATGAAAGCTCAGTTACCTGGAGCAAACTGCTTAACTATGCTAAGTCTCATCCACCAAACAGAATGATAACCTCATCTTGTCAGAGCCTGGACATCTGCATTCCTCCAGATGCATCTGTTGAATTCCTAGCTTCTAAGCTGATGATTTTAGGAAGCTGGAACTTAGAGAGGTGAAGAGCTCATGAGGATAAAGCCTTCATGAATAAATAGGTTTGGTGCTTTATGAAATGGATACCTGAGAACTTTCCTCGTCTTCCTAGAAGCAGAGAGTGAGAGGAGAATGCCAGGGGAAGCTGGCAGCTTGCACACTGGAGAGGGCACTGCTCAGCACTGACCTGCTGGCACCTGGACCTCAGACCTCCAGCCTCCAGAACTGGAAGAAAGAATTTCTGTTTTAGCAGACATCGATCTATGGTATTCAGTCATAGCAGCCCCACAGAGAAGCTGCAATGGCACACACCAGGCAGCAGCCCTGGCTGAGCTCCTGTCAAGCACCCACCACTGATTGTCACAGCTCTGATGACTCCAGCAGCATCTGACACTCATGTGTGGTAACCACAGTGCAAAACACCTGCTGGTAGTCAATGGAGTTCTCAGAGTGGCAAATTACCATTAGAAATCAGTCTCTTGAGGCACTAAGGCTTGGAGGGTTTGCTGTGGAGAAGCACAACTAGCAAAGGTGTTGAGTACATTGTGTGAGGCGTCACCTGCAGTGACTGTGTCCACAGATGACTTCAAGGAATTGATAGGCCATTTCTAAATGGTGAGGTGGGGGAAGGTAAACTGGAAAGTCTCAGTACACCAGAGAGAAAGCAGCAAGGAGCTGTTACCACATTTTTCTTTGGGGTCTCTTGCCATTGTACTTACATTTTCTTCAAGGCGATAAGGTCCCAGGGAAGCATTGTGTTGCATTAGGAAAAAAAATCCAAGTATTGTAGTCAAGGAACATCTAGGTTTATATCCCAACTGAATCACCTATGATGTACTGACCAAAGGTGATTTATTTAATGAATTTGACTGTGCTTGTCTAGTTGTTGAAGCCAATGTCCTCATTCCAAGAGGCTTTGATGGATGGCGCCATCTTGCTTTGAAGGTCCTAACACTTCCACGCATTCTGGGATGGTTCCCAGACAAGTGTGGGTTGATACAGGTGCACAGAAGTTGGCTTTTAGCATAAGAAATCACAACTCTATATGGAGATTTATGCTTCCAGCCCTGTACCATGGGTTAGGCTCAGGAAAGACTACCTAGCACCAATGCTTTTTTGACTCTATCTTTCCTATCCTTTAAGTCTGTTTTCTCTACTACCTTCAAGATTTTCTGCCAAAGAATATTATTCCCAGATATAGAATATTATTTATATACTTTGTAAAGAAAGCTCAATAGTCTAAGTGCCTGCCTAGGCAATTGCAAGGAGCCAGGTTTGATCCCCAGTACCACATGCCATGCCATGCTGAGCTGGCCACCAAGACCAGGCGTGGTGGTGCACACCTTGTAATTCCAGCACTTTTTTCCCCCAAAACCAAAAAAATCAATTTGTCACCCATTTTTCTAAAGACTTCTTTACAAAGTATAGAAATTTCATTTGAAGGTCTTGAGTTTTTAACAAGAATTCCTCATATTTTTCTGCTTTGTACCAAGGAAGAAGATGTGCCTACGTACCATTCATTGAAGGCCCTTTCAGTGTATCATCTCAGTAAATTTTCAAAAGAAGGGTTTGGGGAAAAAAAAAAGCTAAGGGAGAATATGTATCTTAAACTGGGACTCCTAATAGCAGAATCTGAGACTAAGGTCCTGGAACATGGAGCTTATTAGGGGTATAATCTTTTTCTTATATATTTGGTACAAGGTCTCACTATACAGGTTGGACTGGCAGTGATCCTCCTGTCTTCAGCCTCCCTAGTGCTGGTATTACAGGTGTGTGCCGCCACACCCAGACTCCATGGCCAGCTCAGCACGCTGGGGGTGGGGCTGGGCAGCATGCAGTGCCAGGGGATTTTTTTTTTTTTTTTTGTGGAACCGGGGATTGAACTCAGGCCCTTGAGCTTGCCAGGCAAGTGCTTATTCCACTGAGCCATCTCCCCGGCCCCAAGGGGATTTTTTAAATGGAGACTATTAATGCTTGCTTATGAAGTTATTGTAAGGAGCAAGTGAAACCGTGTGTCTGGCTGTAAGCTTCAGGATCGCAGGTCACTCCACAACTTGTGTCAGTGTATCCTCTGTGGGCACAGTCCTCAGCACAGTGGGGACAGCACTGCCACCAGCCCAGAAACTGCACTGAGTGAGGACAGGAGCTTCACTCCACGAGAGGCGGCACAGGCTGCAGTTCTGTAGTGGCTGCAGGCTGACCCCGTGTCTTTCTTCCTTACCTGAGGTCTCCCGACTTGCTGTGGAATGTGCTGGAAATACAACAGGAAATAAGACAGGGCAGGTCGGAGAGCGGGGCTCTGCATCAGCTCACCCCACAAGCAGTGTGCCCTTTGCTGTGGCTTCAATGATTCCCCAGGTTCATGGGCTGGAAGCTTAATGTCCCCTGCAGCTGTGCTGAGAGCAGGAGCCTTTCCCAGGGACTCTGCCTTTATGAATGGTCTGATGTGGCTGTCTCAGGAGTAGTTAATTTTCCTAGGAGTGGGCTCCTGATCAAACAGTGAGGTCAGCTCCTCTCCTTTCCCTCTCTCCCACTTGCCTTCTGGATTTCCCAACTTCTAGACCTGTGCTTTCTAGAACACACTTTCTCTGAAAGTCACTTGACCTGTGCCATCCCTCTGTGGTGCTACATGTCACTTGACCTGTGCCATCCCTCTGTGGTGCTACATGTCACTTGGCCTGTGCCATCCCTCTGCAGTGCCACAACATGTACCAAAACACTTAGGCCAGCATGTCTTCCAACACTTTCATGGAGCATTTCCTGCAACTACGGGGTATAAAGCCCAGCACAGGCTGCTCTCTGGGCTCCCTCGGCGCTTGAGTGAGGTGTGGATAGTCAAGCCTGTGTGCCCCGGGCAGCTTTCCTCAGCAGGGCAGTAGGGGCGCACAGGGGGCCTCAGCTTCCATCTTTCTTTGATGCTACTCTGCAAGCAGCTAGCGCCTCTCAGGTACTCAGTGTAGGCGAGTGTGTCCCGACTCGCTGGACTGAGCTCCGACGACTGGTCTCCAGTGCACTGTGAGCCTGCTTGCCCCTCCGCTGGAACCCTCAACCCTGAACTCTTGACACAGGGCTTCTTATGGCCGTGAGAGGATTGGTGCACACACACACACACACACACACGCACGAGTCAGATTCACTTACTTTGGTCATTAACACCTTTATTATTGGCACACCAGTAAAGCATACATAAAATACAGCTGTTTTGTAACACACGGAGCCACTGGGTCTTTACATATGTGGGGGAACATATTAATATGCAAATGAAAAAATTAGTTCTTTTATAAAGTTTCACATAAATACACTGGAATTGCCCCAAAAGAAAAGTCCCCATAAAACAACCAGGTGAGGGCTTTACAAAACATTATACAAGAAATATACTATGAAAGCATAGTCAACTCAGGTACAATAACAAAAAAATTAACACAGAGAAGTTTCAGATTTATTCAACTGCCCACAAAATTAATGGATTACATGGCTTAAAAATATTTGGATCAACAGCAACTTTACAAACGCATATATTTTCCAGGGTCCAATCGTCTTTCTTTACATAAAAAAATCTGCCCTGGTGTCTGATGATAAAAAGACATTTCTTGTTTCAGTACTTGGGCTAAATTGAAGCCACTCACACTCGAGAACCAATTGACACCACCTTGACCATAAATTCCCTCGCCAGACTCTCTTTGCTATAGCCCAATGGGCGAAAGGAGGACAGGAAGAAAGAAAAGGCAAAGAGGTACATTTAAATTACCTTCCAAGAGCCGATTCCCCCCTACTTTTTTTTTTTTTCTTACTGAAACAAGAAACTCTCAAATGCAAGTCAAAAAGCAGAAAATATTTTACAATATTAAAAAGTCATCTGTCGTTAGGTTTGAGTATTAATGAGATCCTGAGCACTGAATACGTATGGACAACGTGGCTGTCGCTGGACGCTCGAAAGGGAACTTACACAAACACGTCGATGCCTGTGTGGTGGGAGATGCGCTAGCGTTTTTCTCTTGTTTAATTACGATCAGTGCCAGTAACTGCACTTCCTGCCAAGGCCTCCAGGAAGCCTCACAGAAGCGTATTTGGAATGATCCTCTCAATTAAAAAAGGAAAAAAAAAAAAAAAAAAAAAGAATAAAGCAAGAAAGAAAATCAGATCACTGTGGTTTAGAAGGAGCTATCTGCATGGCAAAGTGTTTTTGCTTGTTTCTTTGCTTTTTCATGCCTCCTCTTCCCTTTCCTGGAAGCAAAGGGCTGCGGCTGGAGCGGCGCCCACGGACCCGTGCACAGGAGGTGGCGGTGCCGTGCAACAGCTTACTGGGAGGCCTGGGGCGGGGCGTTTTCTGATTTGGTCTCTTGCGTGGCGGGAGGTTTACTGTTCCACGGGCTGTTGTTCCCCAGGGCGGGAGAATTGCCGAAGTCCTCCTCGTCGTCCATGCCGTTGGCCGCGTCATACTGCGTGTTTTCTAATCTAGTGATTAGCCTTTCGTCCTCGTCCCCAAACTCACCTCCCATCAGAGTTGGCTCTCCTACCACCATCACATCCTGTGAACAGCAGCTGACATTATTACAGGGAACCTTGAGGGGGAGAAGCTCAGCTAAGACAACAGCGGGGGAGCTGGGCACCTAGGACACACACGCTCCTGGCTGCGCGCGGGGCCAAGTCTCAAGGCGGGCGGGGTGAGGCGCATGTGTGATTTCTACAGGAAATAAACACTGCCTCGTGACGGGCAAGAACCACGCGAGTTTATGTCCTTAGTGAGCAGCCTGACACCGGAGAACGAGCAATGCTAGCAATCTGCAGAAATAAAAAAATGGATTTTTCAAAATTAAAAAAATCCACGCTTTGAACCTGCTGACATTGGGGACTTTCAAGAGGGCTCTGGAACCTTCTGCTGGGTGCTTTTCAATCCCTCCAAAAATCTGCCACTTTGATTGAGGGCCTGTGAGTGGCTTTGGAAACTAGTGGGACATGCATAAGGTACAGTTCTGCAATAGTCGTGCCAAATGTCACTTTCTCCGTCCCAGGGACGGTCTACATTTTAATCGACTGAATCTCTCTTTTTTTCTCTACTCAACCAGGCCCTTTTATGCAGCCAATATCCTTGACATTCTGCTACTTAATTATGGTAATTAATTTAGGTAAAGTTTTCGATAAAAACAATGTTCACACTGATTTGACAATTTGCATAGCTAATTAAGTCATTAGCAAAAACCTGCTGATTGCCAACAAGCCCTGAATTCACCATCTGTTATTTCATGGTTCCTGTCACCTATCCCCACATAGGCAACCCTGCTGCCAATCTGGGCAGTGAAGAGAACCAGTCTGTCCAGCTGGTGCCGCAAAAGGAAGACGAAGAGTGCTAATTATAATTATATTGATGAAGCTGGTAGTCATCAGGAATGGAAGTGGGCAAGAGGAATCCATCTCATCACTCCTTCAAGTACAAATTGTCCTTCCATGCAAATAAGGAAGCCACCTTCTATAGCTAGATGTACCAAGGAGGCCACAGCTGGAGAAGGTGGGCACCAGGGAGGGAGGCTGGTTAAGTGCTGTGATCGTGGGCCAGACATGCCTTTGCTTCCCTGAGTTGTGTAAGATCATCATTAGGTTTCCAAACTATATTTTCTGACTAGTCATTCTTTAATGATTTAAAAAAGAAGTGTTCCTGAGGGAGCTAATGAATAAAGTGTGAGGTTGGTCGTTCAGCAACACAGATGTGGCGGGCCATTGAGCTGCGTGCGGCTGTTTACTAGGCAATGAAAAATCAGAAATGATGTTGTCATGAAAGGAGACGCATGAGGACTCTGAAGATGACGTATGAAATAGACACAGCCTTTCTGACTGGCAAGAATGATGACGAGGGTTTAGATGGAACGCGGCCATCACACAGACAGGTGAACATTATTCAGTTAGCTGGTAGCTGTTACAGCATCCACTGGGAGTGTTCAAGGCAAAAATAAAAATAAAAATAAAACCAAAAAACAACTACCACTCAATTACAGGCAATTAGGAGACCACATTTATGATGAGAAAGAAAGGTAGATAGGAAGAACAGCAATACCGTTCAGGGCACAACAGGAAGGTTAATCCCATTTTAGGACTGTAAAGCGCACTTGGAAGGACTTGGAAAACTCATGCACGAAGGTGTCACCGGGGCAGAGTGGGGAGTTAGAACCAACCGCGTGGGTCTGTGTTAGCGCTGTGACTCTAGGGTCATGGAGGAAGCCGACAGCACGAGGAAGAAAGCATGGCCAGCAAGCCGCAGGAGGAAACTAGGAGGCGGCCACCTGCAGTGTGACATCAGAAGGAAAGTCCTGGCATTCCTGATGCTTTCATTGTACTAGAGAAACAACTAGGACGCGAGGCAAGCACGATGAATGCGGTGGTCGGAGGCACTGCACAGGGCTGGCATGGCACAGGCGTCTAGTTTGTGTGGTGCACATTTTTCTTTTTTTTCTAGGAACAACTGGAAAAGGTGCCCGGGTGTGGGCATTTTTAAGCATGCTAAGTTTCAAGGAGATGCTACATAAATTTTCATGACAATAAAAACTACGAATGATCAGATGTGTAGGGGTGTGTGTGTGTGTGTGTGTGTGTGTGTAATGTTTGCACAACATATAGGCGGAAATTCTAAAAAGACTAAGGACATAGGTACTTGAGGCCCCTTGCAATACCACAGGCATAGTTTTACTTGTTCCTCCAAAGCTTGACACCAGGACCGTGAGGCCCTACTCTGGCTGTCTCGATCTGTTGTTGTCTTTACACAAAATAAACGGAGACACAGCATACATTCTTGGCTGCCTCTGACTAAGGGGTGTGCGCTCCATGTCCCCCCGCCCTCCTGTCTTTAGAAGTCCCCCACAGTGGTGCAGAGCCCATCTCCACTGGACTCTCCCTCGAGAGGCGACAGATCCACCTGTGCGGCCCATGTACCCTTGGCTCCCAGAGGTGGGCCTCTACTTCTGTGCCGGAAGCCTCAAGGTCCCACCAGCTAGTGCCCACTTCGCATCTTCTCACTAATCCCCGTGCAAGGACCACCAACCTCTGAGAGGACTGGAAGTGACTCCTTTCAGGGCCCCTCAATGCTTCTCCTTAAATTGGCCAGAAGGGGTCACTGCTGTTGAATGACACAGGTCTCCATCCCTCCCAGGGTTGAGGCTGCAGTTCGGGATGGCTCCTAGCCCCTGCTCATGGAGTGAGAAGCAGAATCCAAGGATTAAACCCTAATCCTGGCCCCGCACACACATTGCTGCCGCAGCAGCTACGCAAGCCGTGTCTGTGTCGCCAGACCAGGCTGAAGCCTGCAGACCATATCTCTATAGAAATAGTAAGGTGGTGGTGGTGATTCAGTAGACAGGGCGGAAAGACGAGGTCACTGCGCATGATCTCAGGCTTAGCATTGAGCATCATTCATCTCAAAGACGCCTAAGAATCTGCGTGCTTTCCTGACCTGATTGTCTTCCCTGCCTCCCTGGATCATCTGCAAGTTTATCGAATTAAAACAATTTTAACCGCAGGGTATAGGGATAGTGCGGGGATTCGGCTGTCTCATGTCTTGTTCATTTGAAATGCAAGGGCCTCAGCTCACAAAAGCCCCACTTGACACAGGGATCCTCCACCAAGCTTCAGTAGCTGGTCTGGTGGACAGAGGCATCCTGGAGGTGAATAAAGTACGCACTCTTGGGAATAAAACTGAAATGAATCTAACTGGATCAGGTATGGCAAAATATACAAGCTGGAGCGCTGCGTGCAACTCCAGTGGATCACTCGGGGCAGCTTCCTGAGCCCCTTCAGGCCTCATAAGTCTTCTCCACACTGGGCTGTGTGAGTGAGCTGCAGAAAAGATTTCCTCACCACCCTCAGGCAAGACAGTGAGCTCTCTAGGATAGGGCTTGGCCTTTTCTTTCTTTTTTAATTAAAAAAGAAATTTTGGTGTTGCCAATAGCTGGCATACCATGAGGTAAACATAGTAGGATCTCAGGAGATGCTTGTTGAACTAATTCTTCCTGCTGCTGTGTCATTTAAGGTCTCAAAGAATTCTCTGAAGTGCATGTTTTTTCATTCATTAAAAAAAAATCTAAAAATTGTTAGATTCTAAAAGTCCGGGAAGAGCAGAATAAAGGAAGTCCTAGTGTGCACTTCTGGAGCAAATTCATCCATATCAGCTCACTTTGCTTTTCTTGGCATTTTCTGATTCAACAAGGACTGAGCAAACCTTAGTGGGATGTTTATAAAGACTCTCAGGGCTTTCTTCTTTGACTTGCCCCCCTCTGACCTTCGGGAGTCATAAAGGCCCATTCAGAAAACAGAGGACTGTGTGAAGATATTTTGATTATTTGAGGACTTCAACTTTTAGTAGTCATAAGATAAAAATGGTGCCTTCCGTTGCTGGTGGGCCATTATTTCCAAGGTACTTTCTTCCTAATGCAGTGCACGTGAAAGCTGTGCCCTGATGGGAGACAGGTGAAGAGCCCCAGGGGTCCGGGGCAGCCTCGGGTACTGTCAGGCTTGGTTTTGTCTAAAGCAAACAGACCCAGAGGCAGTGGGAGAAAGTGGGTGGGGGACAGACTTGAAGGTCCATTTGGGGGGAAGAGGGGAGCTGCTGTGTAAAGCTGCACTCTTACACAGAGAGGGGGGAAGGGTCAGAACAAGACGGTGAAGACAACAGATCCAGAAAAGAAAGAGTGAAGAAGTAGGAAAAGGAACACTGTTGGCGAAGGGAAGCAACGAGAAATGGGGGGCACCTCCGAAGACATAGTATCCAGAGGCTTGCATAAAGCACTGAGGAGGGGTCAGGGTTCAAATGAAGTTTTATACCTGCGACAGATTGGTGTGACAAGGCAGGGACAGATAACCCACAAGGAATCATAGAGGGGTGAAGGGACAGCAGATGTTTCCGAGAGCAGGAGAAAGTAGAAATAGTCTGACATGGGGCCTGGGAAGTGGAGGAGGGAGGAAACGGGCCAGAAGGGACACAGTTGGAGAGAAAGTGACAGGGGAAAGCCTCCTGCCCAGCCTACACAGTCGGGGACTACCTCTGCAGTGAGATTCAGAGTTCCCAGAACTCCAAGTGGCCTTTGTCCAGACCCTGAGATGCAAGCGAAGAGAACTGAGACCAAACCAGGGCGGATCCTCTCTGCCTGAACTGAGCAAACGTAAAACGTGAACCACTCGGCTGGATGCTTAGCGACTGCAAGTTGGGTACCTGAGTCTCAGAATACAAGGGGAAGCCCATGTCGGGCGGTGTAGCCAAATCATAGTTTGGGGGCTGAGCTCTGGGGGCTGCTTCTAGTGGCACACGGGGTCTGCAATGCTTCTGCCCAGGGGCCCTAAAATGCCACCCAGCACGCTGCTAAGTGCTCTGCTAAAGCAACCTCAAGGGACATAGCTCCTGTCTGTGACTCTGCTGGCTTTTGAATTCAGGTCCCCTTGCAGCCCCGGCCTTCACCGTCCCCTCCTGACTCCCAGGCTGCAGGGAGGATTTCCAGGATGCGATTCCTTCTCGCATCCTGCCACACCTGTCCTTGCCCCTCCCCGCAGCCCGCCCCCAACCTGCCCGCAGTGGGGAGCTCAGGGCACCGGCATCCAGCCCCTCCGGGAGGAGCCAGGCAAATGCAAGGCCGCAGGCCTAAAAGGAAAGCGAGACTTACAGGTACCTGAGTGGGCAGACTCAGGTTCGCGGCCGCTGTCTTCTTCTTGCTGCCGGTGCTGTTGGCGTTGTTCCCAGCGCTGCTGTTGGAGGTGCTGCTGGTGGAGTTTTTCCTTTTTCTCCGTTTGGTGGTGGGCTGCCTTGTGGGTTCTGCTGCAGTACAGGAAAGAGAAGAGGGGTCAGGGCCAGGGCCACAGCGTCCAGGCCACCGTCAGCATCCCGGGGCCTCCTGGAAGCGCTACTGGACAAATTAGAAAGGGTGGACATTTCAAATTTTCCGTTTCTTATGACTTTACCAAAAAAATGAGGATGCTGTTGATTTATTTTTAGCACAAAACGTGTGAAACTTTCCTTTGGCATGTAGGTAAAATGATTTTTGTTTAATTTTTCTTTTCACTTTTGTCTGTAACTTACCAATATTTAAAAGTGAGCTGTAAATATTAATTTTCTAATTGAATTTAAAAAGATTTTATCATTAGAAAATTAAAGCAATTTTAACT